CAGTTGCGACCCCTACCGGCGGCTGCCTTTTGACTCCTGGGCAGCCCACCGGGCCTGTCTATATTTAGGACAATATTTGATGATGTGGGCAGGGTCACCACAATAAATGCACTGCCCCTGCTCCGTCCGCTGCTGCCACACTTTTTGGTTCAGGCCCAGATCCTCCCAGGGCCGGCCTTGCGGCCAACCTGGGTGCCAACCTCCTGACCTTTGAGGTGATCTGCCACCTCGTCTCTGTGGGGACCGACTAGGACCTTGACGATTCGGCGGGGGACCTTGACCCCTACCTCCTGCTTGACGGTTCCCTAGACAGCCAACCCCCTAAGTGCCCGATCCCCGACCCCCCATGGCCTGGCCCCTTTGGCCCTGGCCTCCTCCTCTACCTTGAGGCCTCCCTCCAGCCGCGACAGCAGCATAGGACCTCCCCTGTCCCACGCTACTGTCCTCCTCCTCGAGGCCCCACTCAATCTGACTGTACGGGACCTCGTCAGTACCACCTTCCTCCAATGTAAGGATCATGTGATCCTTGGCCCTGACTTAGCCAGAGATGGTACGACCTTTCCACTTTTTGCCCTTATCTAAGTCTTTGTGCCAGAAAGTGGAAACTGGCATCAACTTTGCCTCGAACAACACCACTTCTGTACTAAGCACATCATAGTGGGCTGTTTGGATTTGTCAAAGAAATGCCCTCGTAAGGGCTCTGGCATGGCACGATAGAAGAGTTGGACCAGTTGGGACTCAGTCACCCCATGGTCCGAGACGACCACCAGGTCGTCCATAACAGCCTTGAGTGCCTTGGCACTCCCCCACTGCCGTGAGTGGATCGTTTGGAGTTTGTTAGAGGCTCTTATGCCCCTGCGAAGATCAGCGAATCGCTCCCTGAGGAGCTTGAAGAATTGAGGAAGGGGGGTGACCTTGGAATAAGTGACCATGCTGTTCTCGCAACCGGCCGCTCGCGCGAGGGATCTAGCAAAACTAGCTTCTTCCTCCTTGAGGGCTTGGAACTTGGAAGGCTACAAGGACCTGGTCGTCCTGTACAATATGCTGCAAGTAAACATAGTTGTTTACGCTAGCCTCCCAGTTATCGAATTTCTCCTAAGGCTTCCCGCCGTACGCGTCTGGGAACTTAAGCTTAACTGGTTCCTTGCGGGGCCTGGCCTCGCTCTCGACGGTGGCTACGACTTTGGCACCCTCAATGGCGCCTTCACAAAACTTCCCCACATTATCTCTTAACCTCCTGATTTCGGCCCCAACGTGGGTAGCCATGTCGCGCGCAAACTCTCGAAACCCTGACCGCATGGCACTCGGGGCCACATCGTGCCCCCAGCTGGCTTGGCATTCCTCCAGCCAGGCCTCACTCAATACCTCTAGGTACCCCAACATCTTATCCATTTTGGCAAAGATATTTGCTTGCGCCTGCACTTCTTGCCTACAGGCTCTCACCTTCTCCACCTCTGTGGTCAACCGATTAACTTCCTCCCTCCTCTTCTTCTCCCTCTTCATTCTCAACTTCCACTCCAACTTTTTCTCCTCCTCTGCCTCCTGTCGTTCTAGGGGGTCTTCAATCGTTGCTAGTGCCCTGGCAAACGCCTCCTTCTCCTCCTGTGACACATACAACTGTGCCTCCTCATCTTCCCCCAACTATGCATCCTCATTCTTCATGCCACTACTCTCCCCTTTTTCTTCCCTGCGTCTTCTCTCTTCTGCTTCCTCTGCTGCCGCTTCCTCCTCGACAACCCTTTTCTTCTCCTCCGTTTCCTCCTCCAATTTCTTCATTTTTGCCGCCTGCTCCTCTGCGATTGCTTTCAATTTCGCTTGCTTCAGGAGCTCTTTCCTCTCTCTATTCTCTTTCACTAAGGCGGCCATCTGCTCTTGTTGAGCCTGGGTATAGGGGCTAGTGCTCCTCCCACTACGGGTGTCAACCATGGTGATTAGTGTACAACCGGGTTAGCGGTTCCAAACCTCACCACTTAGACTCTTAACCCCTGACTGACAAACTTACTGACTCAAACTAAAGACTCACAGAATCCGGACAGGGATCCTGTCAACTAGGGTCTCTAGCCTAGACCTACTCTAAGGCTGTCACTACTAGACCTGTTGCTGATTAGGAGGCATTTAAGGAGATTCCCCGTAACTCCTCAGGAATTATTTAACATCGCAAACAGGACGACGCGATCAACAGGTCTCTCAACACTTAACTGCCTGTTGTGCACCCCACAGCTCAGCTTTTCGGGCCTACCGTGCCACACCGAGCAGCCCGCCGGTCTGTACCGGTCCTTGGGAGGGTTCGTGTCCTCCGGGACAGTCGAGTGGTTAGACACAGTCCTTAGCCCTACTTAGTCCTGCAGGGGTGTGGTCAACAAGGCCCTATCCTTCATCCACAGAGTTCCTACACCTAGACAGAAGAGACTCAATGCAGAAAGAAGAGACAGACAGACTTGACCCAGCAAGTACCACAGGGTGTGTGCACATCCATAGGGCGAGGGATAGGCTTCAGGCTTGGCGAGATTATACCGGCGCCAGCTTGGTAAAAATCGTGGTCAACGGTCTTGGTCAACGCCTTGGTCAACGCTCAGTCAACGCTGCAGTCAGCCTCCGGTCAACTCTGGTCAATGCCGGTCAACACCTCCGGTCAACCCCGGTCAACGCCCGGTCAACGTCTGGTCAACTCTCCCGGTCAACTCCGCTGGTCAGCTATGGCTGCCGGCTTCTCCTTCCTCACCACCCTTCTCCTTCCTTTCTCCTTCCTTGCCACCTTTCTCTTCACCCCGGCTGTCTTCTATCTCTCTCTTTTTTTTTTTTTAACTAAGCTATACTCTTCTCTCTCTTTCCCAAACACTTCCTCCAGTGCTAGTGGTGCTGGTAAAAGCAGATACTGCTAGCACCTGGGGA